CCGTGCAAGGACATTAAATTCTATAAGTTACATTCAATCTCGATGCAACAATAAATTCACAAAATAGCAGCAACCAACCAACCTCCGCAGCAACTCAAAGCATTGCAGCACATAAAATGAGCTCAAACAATTAAAATGATATATTAGGAGGTATAGTACCATTGCTTGTCAGCAAAATCAAGCAAGAATTCCCCTGTGCTACAAACTCAGACAATTACTAGCATGGTGAAACGAGGTTCAGCAAAAAGAAACTGACCAAATTGCCTTATCTTCTATTATACAAAGCCAGGACAAAATCATGCACGGAAAAAACTCGGGCTCCTCCACGTATATCTGCAAACACACTTATAATCATTGATTGGAACAAAATCACAATAAAAAGCCTGCCATCAATAAAGCCAACCAGCAACAATTCTTTAAATGAGATTTCTTAACTAGAAAGCCTGTGTAACTACTTCATAGCATGCTACAAATTCTGCTGGTCAAAAGAATAAGGTCACAAATGTTTCTTTACAATTTTGCAAGATATTGCACCACTTGCCAACATAAAAAATGTATCATCTAAACAATTGGTTAAGTTAGAATCTGTATAACCCTCTAACTTAAGATGTTCAACCTGTTACCAAACTAGCTTATAATCTTTAGTCCTATTCAAATATCTCATCATCTTTTTTGCTACTTCTTAATGGTTTGTGTCAAGATTAAATAAATATTTTTTCAAAAGATCCACTGTATAAGCAATGTTAAGCCTCATGCGCACTTGAGCATACATCAGGCTCCTAATTGCATTAGAATATGCCATCTGTTTCATAAATTCCCACTCAACGTCATTTTAGGAAACTATGCCAAGTTCAATTTATCACCTTTAATAACACATCTCAACCTTTGCAATCAAGTATAAAAATATATATAACACTTGATCAATGTATGCAAGCTAAAAAGTCCCAACAGGTGATGGGATTTACTTTTATGGATTTTAAACTCAAGAACATAGGATGCTTCCCCAAGAACTTTCATGTCAAATTGCTCAGACACAACTAGCAAGAAAGATTGCACCTGAGCATTTGATTCATTAGTTGGTTCATGATCTGCCTGCCTAAAGAGTAGGGTTCGAATCTCCTTTCTCAAAAAAAAAAACTAACAAAAAAAATATCATCAACAAACAAACTAAAGAAAGAGGTAAACTTACTCCCACGATCTTGGGATATATGCATTAGTCTACTTTGTTCTTATCAAAACCAGAAAATGTAATTATTGCGTCAAATTTAAGATACCATTGATGAGAAACTTGTTTAAATTCATAAATAGACTTTTGAGTCCACACCATATGATCTTTACCATCTTTTTAAAATTTTTTAAATTACAATGTAAAGACATTTTCAACAAGATTCTCATTTAAAAAGACAATTTTAACATCCATGTGATGTAATTCTAAATAATAAAGAGCTAATCACTCTAAACAACATCCTTTATTGATAATCATGACAATAAAAACATTAAAGTGTTTGATTCAATGATAAATATATATATGTCTCTAGTTTCAAAAACTAGATTCGAATCTCACACTTTTCAAATCATCAAAAAGAATAAAATAAAACAACAAAACTCTATTTCTTAAATTTCCTTATAGCAGCAGAACCCCTCTCCACTTGTAGAAACACACTAATGCACAGTATAAGATGATCCCACAAACGCTAGTAATGATGAGGACCACCTTAATTGTATGAGAATCATTAAATAATGGTACTGGAAAGTTAATGCCAAATATTCCAATTATTATCCCAAATACAGCAAGAACAAACGTAGCGGATGTGAGTAGCAGCTCAAACTGGATCAGTCGATTTCGAAGATTATTCTGCAAAGCAGAGTAAGTCTATTAGTTAATAAAATTGTGACAGATCTTACATCAATAAGAGATGGGATAGATTTTAAAATTATAAATAAAATTTTTTTTTATTTAATAAATACATTTTTTAAATCAGAAACATAAATTCGTGACAAGTAATATCAAAACTTATTCAATTCTTAATTGATATGAAATCCTTCATAAGAGATATTAAAGTTGAAATAAGTGCGAGTCGATATGATTTTTTTTTAGAGGTGAAATTGTCAATATAACAAAAATATTATATAATTGAATGAGATAACATGTCACAAAGTACAAATTAGTAAAAGACGTGCCACCTCTAGTCCTTTCTTCAATCCTTTTTTAATATTTCAAAATTAAAATAATTCTAACATAAGATTATTTTTTTTTCTTAATCTTTCTGTGTCACATCAAAGACCTGATATGCTCGCTTCTGTTAGCTTTTTTATTATTATTTTTTAATCAAGGTGAAACGCATGATCACTTACCATCTGAATGTTGAGGAAATTTTCTGTGTCATCGATGTATTGCTTCAACTGAAACAAGAGGGAGAAGATTAAATTAATAAATTATTAATTAATTTTGTAGAATTAGACAAGGGAATAAAATTGGAAAACGTTGACCAAGGTGCTCTCTAGCTAGAGAACTGTATTCATACCGTCATCAACTTATTAAGAATGCTATCAATGACAACAAAGTATGCTTCCAGTAATGACTCCAACTCTTCCACACTGGTCGCAGCGTTCTCAGAACTCATCATCATGCTCTCGCGACGGCTCCTGACGCTGCTCGAGTTTTTCGTCAGCCTACGGGAGCCTGAGGGTGAAGAAACAGGAGCAAATATTATAGGATCAGATGCTTCAGAGGCTCCTTCATTTGATCTGAATATTCCCAGCAGAGAAGACTGAATATCATCAGAAATTACTGAAGCCGATTCCATCTTTCTCTTCTTCTCAGTAAGATACATTTCAGCCTTATCTTCGTCGTCATCCATTATCTTCTCTACCTCATCTCGAATCTAAAACCAAGGTGGGAAATTAAGTATTAGAGAAGATAAAGAAAAGAAGAGGAGAAAGACAGGTGAGCCGACATATTCTATACCTTAGAGTCAATGCAACAAGGCGGCTCTTCAATCCGCGAACTCGTTCCAGGTTGAAGGTACTTACCTCTGATGTGAGCTTGTCGAGCAATGGATATGCTTCCATTTCTAATTCTGATGCCTTGGGAACATCAAATGATCACATACCATATCAGTTACCATCACTCACATAATTTAATCAAACATACGAAGGAATTATATATTCTAGTTTTCCCTTATTAATTTGTACCAACCTCAGAATCAAGTGAGCCAGAAACAACGTCCAGAACAACTGCAAGTGCCCTAAACTCGAAGGGACAATAGGAAGACGTGCTCCTAAAACTCCTGGCACCGCTGCGTCTTGGGTTCAATTCAGCTACTCCAGTGCTTCTTAGTCGTTTCTGCAGCTCCATCACATACTGCAAAACGTTTCTGTCAAGGGAATTCAAGAGCAGGACCTCGTCAGCTGTGATAATACACCGTATCTTCTCCAAATTAGCAACGATAGCCTTCTCTTTACCAAGGATGGTTGGGGGGTAAACAAACAGGGGGTCAAGAATCCGTAGATCACGAGTTGATATAGCACAACGACGTATTATGGTCAACTTGTCGATCTCAAGGACTTGGGAATTTCCCGACGCGTCAATACAAATCCAAGATCGGAGACCTTGGCCTGTCTCCGGCAACTCCAATACATCCATGCCTTGGAATGGAAAGGTCAAGGTTGAGGCAGAGAGCTCGTACGGAGCATCTATATATAAGGTTTTAGATATATATATATATATATAATCCAAGTGTTTTTTTAATTTCGCTATCTTTCTTTCTTCCCCACAAATCATTGGATATTTCTTCCTTTCAAGTCAATCGTGACGTTTTAATTGAATTAAAAAAGACACAAAATCAAAAACAAGTGAAACCCAGAATAGTGATCATGTGGACTCTGAGTAAATAATTAAATGACCTTTTCCCTTTGGCTGAATATAAAGTAAAGAGAACCATTGGCACACGTACAACATGGTGAGTCAACTTGCCAAATTGTAATATTTATTCTATGTGGGATTTCTTAAATACAACGTTGATGTAGCAACAAGGGACAAGGGGTGCGTCATTGCATAGTTAATCCTTTTGTATTTTTCGAAGGAGGTCACTTCGTAGAGATATACATAATGCACGTAAAGATGGTAATTGTCAGACACTTGATGTCAGCTTTCACCATTTCACACACAACTGCTGATGGAAGAGGCTAAAACCTCCTCTACTGAACTTGGGAAGCCAGACCTGCCTCTTCCAGTATCGAAAAGCACATATGTTTCATTTTCATCCAATTGGCATTCTATTGTTATTATTATTATTATTTCTGTAAATGTATGGAGTTATAGACGTCTGCTTGATTCACCATTTCAATATTTAAATTCACAACTTTTATTTTCAACCGATATGGCCAACTTGGTGAAATCGATTCACCATTTGAGCTCTCCCCACCGATATGGCCAACTGGAAGGAAGTTGCATAGTGGAAACTACTCAATAAACATATACAAAGAGTTGATAATTTAAATTTTTAACTTTAGGGTCTATCCATCACATCTTTTAAAAAAAACTAATTTAAATTTTTATTATTATTTTTTAAAAAAAAAAGTATAATATTTTAATATAGAAAATGAATATAAATTTATATATATATATATATAAATATATCATATGATCATATTATCATGTCATTATCTATCATGACATAGTAACAAATTACGTCAACACTACATTGTATAAAATGAGAATTGATGTTTGACTAAAAATATTAAACACAAGAATTTGACCAAATGGAATTGGGAAATAAAAAAAGCTTAATTGAATTTAATTTTCTGAATATGTAGTTGAGAAATTCTATTTTAAGTATTGTATATCTTTTAAAAATATTATTATAACATGTTTGATTCACAAAATAATAATAATAATAAAGTAGAACAGGAATGAAACTATGTATTTGATGTTAGCGGTGTTAACAGAGAGTGAATAGATATGTAAAAATCAAGTGACTTGGAATAATATGAAGAAATAGGTGGCAAGTCCGAAGCTTGGTGGAGTGACTTGGAATCAAAAGAAAATCCTCTGCATTGGCATTTGGGTGCAAATGAAATCAACTTCCCTGTTTGTTCAGATGCGTTTTGTTAAAGGTAACTTTGATTCATCAATGAACATTAGAGACTTGCAAGAAAGCAAAGGGCACCCAGATTTTCGTTTGGTTGAAGGCAATAGAATAATGCTTTCCATTTCGTTTGGTTGCAAGAATTGGTAAATACTATACTATTCACAATGGTAGAATCGAAAATTCAATAAAATTGCATATTTGCACTTGATAATCGTTAACACCTGTTGGGGGATTATCTCTTGCAAGTGTCATTCCCCCATTTCCTATTTCAAGTTCAACATGGGCGACTCCAATTAAAGAATTGGCTCTAAAAATAGAGAGCCATCTTCTTTCATCCATGTACAGGGTACATGATTGATAACAACAATGATGGGAAAACTGCGTCTTTTATTTCCTTTATAGGGGCATAAGTCGTCGGTACTTGAAGAACCACACAAATGCACAAAATATGATGATCCCGCATATCCCAGTAACTATGAGCACCCACTTAAACGCACCTGGGTCATCAAACATTGGTATTGCAAAGTTCATGCCAAATATTCCTGCTACCACCCCAAATATCGCAACCACAAACGTCGCCGTTGTGAGTAGCAGTTCAAATTGGATCAGCTGGTTTCTAACATTATCCTGCAACCCAAACTTTCTCCATAAGTTCAATATGCTTTTCCACAAATTTCTCCTTCCCCGAAAGACAAAATCATCAGTAGCAGCAGTGGAGGAAAGGTTGGGGTTCAAACATAAACAGAAAGAAAAATAATATTTCTTAGTAACAAACTTTTCTATCAAGGATAAAAAAGCACATACCAGCTGAATGTTAATGAAATCCTCTGTGTCATCAATGTATTCCTTCAACTGAAACAAGAAGAAAAAAACTAATATTTATAACACTCCTAGAGAAGGGAAGATGAAAAGGACTAAAGACTGCAATAAGTGCTATGCCTACCGATGTCAACTTATTTAGGGTGCTATCAATGACAACAAAGTATGCTTCCAGTAACATCTCCAGCTCTTCTATACTCTCTGTAGTGCTCTCTGAACTCCTCATGCTCTCATGGCGGCTCCTTGCAATGCTCAAGCTTTTCTCCAGCCTGCGGGTTTCGGGAGGTGAAGAAACAGGAGAAACTGGAGCAGAAATAGAGAGTCCATCAATTGATCTGAATCCCATCAAAGATTGATCACCATAAAATGATGACTCCATCCTACTCTTCTTCTCAGTAAGATACATTTCAGCCATATCTCCATCATCATCCATTAGCTGCTCTATCTCATCTCTAACCTAAATGGATACCCAAAGAGTGGGAAAGTATCAGAAGACGTAAGGCTATCATTTACCTGCAAACAAGAAGGGGAAAAAAAGAGGGGGGAAGAGGAGAGAGAACAGAAGATACGTATACTCTATACCTTCTGAACTCTTCGAGTCAATGCAACAAGTCTGCTCTTTAATCGGCGAACACGCTCCAAGTTTAACGTGCTGATCTTTGATGTAAGCTCATCCAATAGTGGATATGCTTCAATTTCTAATTCTGCTGCCTTTGGAACATAAAATGAGTTACCAACTTGCTCAAAAGTAATCAAATGCGTACAACAGAATATGTTGATGGTACAAAAAGTGATAATTCCTAAAGAAAGGACTCAGTAGACCAACTAGGAACTGTGTTCATTTCTAAAATGTGATGATTAGAATGGACAACAGCTAATATATGAATTAGTAGTCAAATTTTGATAGTTCAATTATCCAAGAAATCCATTCTAATAACTACTGTTTCATCTGATATATCCCCTGCATCCACCAAGATGCCAAAAATCCATATCATTGTTCAAACATAATCCATACTTAGGAGGACTTAACAAAAAGTGAAAAAAAAAAAAAAGAGATATCACATAGGAACTGTGTTTGAAACATGTGACAACACAACACACTATAATAAGAGCACAAAGGGAAACAGAATATATTAAAGATTCTCTCAACGAAATATGAGTTATGGCATGACTGCCTTGTGGCATATTTGGCTGGGATGCAATAAAAAGGTTAATTTCAACTTTAAGAAATACAAGACAACAAGAATGCCATGAAAGTCATTCATGATTCAAGAAAAAACAAACAGAAAATCTAGAAACCGGATGGTACAATACCCTAGCAATTCAGCTTAGGAATTAGCTGCCTCTCTTCCCAGTGGCCTGCCTGGGCAGGAAAGTTCACAGCAAAATTGCATATTAAAGGTTACATCTTTGAGTTGAGTCATTTCACCTACGCAGGTTCAACCTCAAATTCTAATAAAGTGGAAGATTTCTTGCTAGTACAAGCTACAAAGGCTTTCAACAATTTATTTCAGCTAGCCCCACATATTATCAGATCCACCATAACAGGTGATCATGATTCTCTCCAAAAAATATCTTGATGGAGGTCACAAAACTCAGAGTTCTTTCAGTTGCTGTCGCCACCCAAAAGGAAATACACAAATTCTAAAATTTTCTATATTCTATCATCGACAATTTAAATCCATCATTCCAGTCTCAAGAATCTTTTTCGCCTTTGATTAGTTGCTACTTTAAACGGAATAAAAGGTTGCTCCAGATACAAATTTCATGAGAGCTACTGAAGAATCTGCAATTAATTTACAAATGCATCATCCCATTCTCAAGACATCTTTTTCCCAAGACACAATTATTGATTTATTTGTTGTAATCACCCTTGAAATTTGTGAGCCTCTCCATCCACACATAAGATCACCTCATAGATTACCACTTTAGAGACAGGCAGATAAAAACAAAATTTCACATTCTCTATATCTAATGTATTGCATAGCACGCACAAATAAATACATAGTTTTTAGCAGAAAAATGCATACAGATTGGGTGAAATTTATCAATCAAACACCCACAAGATATAATTATTTAACATGAGACAATGATGCTCAAAAGTTTTTAAACAAAAAGAACAATGGACCCTACGAGAATATACTTTTTCTAAAACTTTGTTTAATCCATTAAAATGATATTCAAATTTTCTCTCAAGTCCTTAAGCAATGCAAAGAAGCATAAGAAAGAGGTTTGAATCAAACTGATAATTGCTAATTGAGATCAGAAAAAATTTTGTTATTTAATTTTTTAAAAAGTCACTTTAAACTAGTTAAGTTTTCATTTGATAGGCACTCCAGATGGAAAATATTTATGATGCTAAGAATTTCTATTCACTATCCAGGAAAGGGGAGAAAGTAAAGATCAAGAGTCTTTGAAAAAGACCACAGAAAACTAATCCCAATATATCTACAAGTAGCTAGGATAGCATGATGTCAGAGAACTTATCTACGAATAAGAAGAAAGGATCTACGGCTTGAACTTGCAGGGAAAATTATCTTCCATTCTCAAACTTGCATTTTCTCTTATGGCTTCAAAAAGAAATAGATTAAGCTCAAAGCTTGGAACTTAGAGAACCGAAATATCCATGGTAGTGCTTTTCTCTCTCCTAGGGAACTAGAGGTGGAAAAAACCTTACCCGACCTAATTCACCTGCACAACCCAGCTGAAGCCCAAACCAGCCCAACCGAAATTACTAAAAAAGTCAACAAGCCAACCTTGGCCCAAGCTTGTAAAGACCTAAACCTTAAATAACCAGAACCCAAATCCAACCCTGATTCCAATGCACTTACTATTTGCTTGCAGAGCAAAATAGTACAATGTGGCAAGAATTGACCTGAACTTCCAGACTAGCCCAACCCACCAAAACACAACCCAAAGTAACTCCAAAGCTTGATGATCCAAAGCTGAAATGATCAGGAAAAATCACAAGTCAAAACCTAAAATTGACCCAATCCATAACAACCTAACCGATCCTACGCAATCTTCCCAATAGACACCTCTACGGGCAATTATATAGATCGAAGGTACCAGATTAAAGCTTATGTGTTATTGATGTTTTGCTTCACCTACCCATCAAAGTTCTTACATCTCACAATACCTTCCGATCGAAATGTCTTAAAGTATATTTAAAAATATCAGGTGCCCTATAGATATGTATGCGTCTTTTAGTTCAAGGTGAACTCAACCACACCATCAAAAGTATGTTGATGGAAAGAGATAATAGCTCAATACAAGTTCTCTGGACAACATTCTTTAATCTTTAACCTGGAACATGACTCCATACTTAACAAGATAATGAACAATATAGTTGTCAGGTATGTGCCTGCTAGTCCGGTGAGATTCAAAAAGAACATCAAAAAATATGAAGACTAATTCAGCACAATTTCCCTAGATGTACTCTTAATCTGTAACAAGGAGCATGAAAAAATTGAGTTTTAAAGAATCCTTACCTAACAAAAGAAATAACAAAGAAATATATTTTATTCTACACTAAAGTTAATGGGAGACTTTGCTTAACAAACACATGTGCATGTATTGCAGAAAAGATCTTTCGCAGCCAGGAAATTTGAATATAGCAGCCAAATACAAATACAAAAAAAAAAAAAATGCCTCTTCTCTATCTCATTTATATTAGCGTCTTAACAATAATTGATAATGAAGAAAAACCCAGTCAAAAGAAAATAACAAGAATGTGCAAATATTATTTCATATGACTTGGTGTTATATGCCTTATGTCATTTCCTTAATTTACATTAGCTCACCCAAGAATCAAAAAGAAAATGTGCAACTAATATGTCTTCCGGCCAATTTCTTAAAAAATAAATAAATAAGAGTCATCAAAACAAAACTGATACTTAATCACAAAACAAAAAAAGGCATTATTTATATTAAGGGATTGTCTATGTTTGTGGCAAAAAGAGGAGGGGGTGGGAAGATGGGGAGAGAGAGAGAGAGAGGATGTTGTCAAGTCCAACAACTTTAATCAGTTTTAAGAAACCAGATACTTGCATCGTCCTACACATGCTTCTTTTTAGGTTCAATCTCCAATTCATGAATTGAAACAAAAATTTTCAACCATTCCATTTTCAGCAGGCTATATTCTCAGGTGAATAATTTTAGGAGCACAAGTCTATACTCAAAGAAGTACCATTTTTTAAACATCACTCAGTAAATTCAAACACAACAAGACATTTCAGTTTCCCCTTTCACGCACCTGTGAATCAAGGAATGTACAGGCAGCTTCCAAAGCAACTTCAAGAGCCCTAAACTCAAAGGGCAAATAATCGGGGGATGTGCTCCCAAATGAATTGTCAAAACTCCTACTGCTTCTTCTTCGGTTCAACTCAGGACCCTCTGATTGCCAAACCTCACCTACTCCACTTGTTAGTCGCCTTTGTAGCTCCACAACATACTGCAAAACATAGCTATCAAGGGAATTCAAGAGTAGAACCTCATCAGCAGTGATAATACACCGTATCTGCTCTAAATTTACAACAATAGCCTTCTCTCTACCAAGGATTGTTGAGGGGTAAACAAACAAAGGATCAAGAAGCCGTAGATCCCGGGCTGGTAGATCACAACGACGCATCATAGTGAACTTGTCAACCTCAATAATCTGGGAATTCCCAGATGTGTCAACACGGATCCAAGATCGAAGTCCTTGACCCCGCTTCTTTAACCCCAATAAATCCATTCCTTGGAAAGGTTGACGTCCAGAAGCAGATGCCCGATAAGAAGCATCTCTAAGGTTTACAGCTGATTGAGGTTTTGGAGGAAGCAGACGCTCTTTGAGTTCCGCCATTAACATATAATTCTGAAAAACATTACAAAACCATTAAATGACAACACTACACAAACAAGTTCTCAAAAAAGACCCCATATAAAAATTGGTTTCAACAAGCCCACTTTTCCAACTAAAATCTAAAAGCAACTAATTTATATCTGTATAAAAAAAAATTCAATAACCAAGGACCATTTTACTTTACAGCTTGAATACACAATTATACAGTTAGATTAATCATGTTTGTTTATGCATTTACACGAAGTCACAAGTACAGTTAGAAATTACAATCATAATCACGCATTGCATCTGACAGAAGAAATCAATTAAATAAACCAAATAGACAAACCAGCATATAACTGGACAAATCTAATTTAAAGCTGGACTAAACCCACATGTAGAGGGACTTGACCCAGGGACCTCTTCCTCTCCACTGGGACAAGGCCTCATTGGCTTTTGTTTATGCATTTAGAAGCCTTAATAACAAAACAATGTTATTTTTACACAGCCTGAGATTAAACATCAATTAAACCATGAATAACTCAGCATAAGAATGACAAAATTACAAATCAAGAATTCAGGATATCAACCAAAATGCTACCTCGAAATAGCCTATTAACCCTCCATAAGCTTATGATTGAACTAAAAAGGAACAATTAAAACAAAAAGAAATTGAAAATAAAGAGCAAAATCCATTAAATTCCAACACAGGACTCAAGCATAACTAACTAATGAAACAGCAATGAATAATCAAATAATTTCAAGGAGAAAAAAGAAACAAACTTACCTCGAACAAGTAAACTAAGATTAGCTAGCTACCAGATGAAGGCGAAGAAGATATAATCACAGCCGTTAAATAATTAAGCTGCGAATAAACGATTAGATTAGTAAATCAAATTATAACAACACCAAAGATTACAGAAAAGAGAAAGGAAACCCTAGATTTGGAAAAGCACCTTGGCAGCAGCGGATTATCGAGGAGAGAAAGATGTGAAGAGGAAGATTGCGCAAGAAAGAGAGAATCTCCCCTTCCAATGCGAAATTTTCATTTAATACTTTTTTTTATAAATAAAATTAAAATAAAATATAAGAGGGCGGTGTAATTATTACTCAATTAGCTAAGCCGCGAATCTTACTGGAGAATCTATGATTGAAGATTTTGGTTTTAATAAATTAGAAAAAAAAAAAAAAGGGTACGATGCGAAGAGCGTTTTTGTTGGTTTGTTACTTCCGTTAGTCTGTGACTCTCTCTGTCTGTCTCTCTGTGTATGCGTCTGGGTTTTTCAGGAACAGGAAAAACGATTAAATTACGTCTCTTTCCTCTTGGCAAGTGGCAGACTGTAAATGGGTTCCCCGGATGGGTTGGGTGGGGTTGGGCGGGCTACCCGTCGATTTTTCCTTTCTTTCTTTTAAACTCAAAATATGGAAAATAATAATAATAATTAAAGTAATTTTAGTAGGAAGGTAAACAAGTAAGTTACTCACTCCCTTTATTTTTAACAAACAAGTAAATTTGAATAAAATAATAAAATATTATTTAAAAGTAAACTTTAATAATATAGCATTATTTATTAATTACTCGAATCTATTAAATATATAATTAATAACTTAAAAAATAACTTAAATAATTCAAAATTATATAAAAGATTAATTTTATATTTGTTAATTTATAAAAAAAAGTTATGATAAAAGTAAAGATATTTGAATATCACATATTATAAATTTTTGAACAAGTTCAAGTTTAGGTTATGTTAAAGATAATATCTGAAACTTACTTGAATCCAAATTGGGTATTAAAAGTCTTATCCAAACTCACCTCATCATTAAATCTAAAATACTTAAATCTTATATTTTCAAGACAAATATTCTCAAATACCCATATAATAAAAATCTATTTACATCTCAATTTTATACCCAAATATCTTTGTACAATACAATTACACTGTACTCTTATTCTTTTGTTTTATTCTTCCCTTTATTCCTTAATTTAGGAGGCTTTAAATTGAGAATACCTTTTTGAAGTAGACCTTAATATTATAATTACAATTAAATAGATACTTCAAACACACGTAAAGACAAAAATTCATCTAATACTATGTATTATTATTATATTAAATTTGTTGCTTTAATATTTGTCCAACTTCTAGGAAAAAAAATGAAATGAATCAACAACAAGACATTGGGATGTCTTATCATTTTACAATTTTGATGAAAGTTAATTGTTGGGTATTAAATTATATAAAAGATAACAATATAACATTTGGTATATATATAAAAATGTTAATTAAAATTTTAAAAAAAATAACAAAGTAAATTTAATCTACAAATATTTTGTCAGAAATGATATGTTAATTTTTATAATTACTTTTATGTATCAAAATAAATATCTAAACACTTATATACTTTTTATAATGTAACCATTTCGTCGAGCTGCAACAAGCTAATTAGATAATATTTCTTTGTCTAGATTTACAAACAAATTAAGTTTATATTAACAAATACAAGGCCAATCAAGGAGGAAAGCTAGTTTCTAGAATATACAACATAATCAACTTAGAATTTTCAAAATAGAAAAGGAAAGAAAGAAATATTGTTGTTGCATCTAATTCCATAATAACAAAGTTGAGGTCGATTGATAAATCTTTGCAGGTTTTGCTCCCTCCAAGCAGAGTCGATAGATGAGTCCTCATGCTTAATTGGCAAAGGCTGCCTCCTCCCTCCTTGAGACTTGAAAGCATTGGCCCAATAGAAAACAATTCGGCTTGTGGCCCTCTAATCAAATTAGAAGTGAAACAAAGCAGAAGGATTGCTCGTGAGGCAAGGATGGGGAGATCAGTCTTGCGCATACAAAAGCAAAATGCCAAATGCCCTATCCTAGCTAATTATAGGAGGACATGAAAATACTCCTACAAAACAAAGACTATGTGTCACGATTCATATTAACTTATGAAATATTGTTAACTTTAGTCTATTAACTTTACAGTTTTACCTCACAAAAGATATCTCATAAATTAAAACTAGTATAAACTTTAAATCGTAGTGTCACTCTAATACCACAACTGATGTAAAATTCATGGCTCTTGCTGGGATCTCAACAATACTGCCTCAACTCCACAAGCTTCTACGGTGATTGAATTAGCTCCCACGATTGATTTGAAGTCTAGTGGTACTAAGAACGGTGTTGAACCAGTTGAACCAGATGATCTGATGGTAGAGACAGATGAATGTGCGGAAGACCATACAGCATGGTGTAGAAAGGCAGTAACTTGTTTAACAGTCAGATCCCTAGACCTATTTTACAACATGGATCGAATAATCTGCAAGCAGAAGTTTGTGTACCTAACCAAACATTCAGCAATATCACCCATGGATAAAGCTGGTTCAAGCAATGTGATAATATATACAATGGATAATCACAGCACAAAGGTTACTAACGTATAAATGAATGGAGGCATCCTTTTATCGAAAGGTGAAGTCAAACAATCAAGTAAGACTGGGAATATTCGCCTACAACGATCTTCCTTGAAGAAAAAAGCCAGAGCTAAACACAATGGTTCTCAAAGCTTCTCACCCTCTCTTTCCTTATTGAAGGAGAAAACAGTTCAACCGGGTATTAAATGGATGGAAGGGAAGGGTGATTTTGCCCATGGTGTGGTAGCCATTGATGAATGTCAAATGAGTACGGCGCATGAGGTTAATAAGGAGGTTGCCTTAACCTCACTTTCTTGTTATACTATTATTTATGAATCTAAAAATATTTGTTTGGAATTGTCAGGGGGCTAGTGATAGAGGATTTCCTCATTTTGTTAATGATCTACAGAGGATGCACCACTTCTCAATCATGGTCTTGTTAGAGCCAAAGGTTAGTGACACCATCACAGATAAAATTATTCATTCCATAAAATTTGACAGATCACATAGGGTTGAAGCATCTAAATTCTCAAGAAGCATATGGATTTTATGGAAGGAACACTTGCAGATCTCAGTAATTCGTAACCACGATCAATGTATCCACCTAAACATCCGAGATGGTTGTGGCAGCTCATGGATATTAACAGCAGTGTATGGACACCCAGATTATAGGAATAGAAGAACATTGTGGACAAAATTATCTTCCTTTGCAGAACACGTCTCTTCTCTGTGGCTATTATCTGGGGACTTTAATGCTTTTCTCTATGCTTATGAAAAGGTCGGTGGTTCATTACAGGTAGTAGGCCTTGTCCATACTTTTAGCGGTTTGTTAATGCATATGGCCTAGTTGATCTCGGCTTTAATGGGCCAAAGTACACATGGAAGAGAGGGTTAGTTTCTGAAAGAATTGACAGGACACTCTGCAACATGCTGGAGACTAAAGTATCATGAAAACGACTATTCAACATCTTCCCCGAATCCAATCTGACCATAGACCATGTTTAATTTCATTAGAGGCGAGGGGAGTTATAGATCGAAGTTGAGATTCCAATTCCAAGCCTGCCATGGCTTTTCCCATGTAAAGCTACATAAGGAATATGAGTTAACTATTCAACAGGAAGAGGTATACTGGATGCAAAAATCCAAGGCGGACTGGCTGAAACTAGGTGAAAAGAATACTAAATATTTCCATCTTCGGGCAGTAAAGAGAAGAAACAAGGGAAAGATTTTACAATTAAGAAACACATATGGTACGTGGTTAGAAGGACAAGAAGAAATGAGACTACACACTGTTGATTTCTTTCAAAAGCTGTACTCTAAGGATACAAAAACCTTACCAGCCTATCCTATTAGTGGTAAATTTCTTTTTATGAATAAGTCTGATTATGATAAATTGACTGCACTGGTTTGTGACAAAGAAGTACATGATGCCTTATTTGACATGAAGCCTGTGAAAGCTCTTGGTATTGATGGGATACACGCCTTGTTTTTCCAAAGTCAATGGGATGTAGTGGGTTCGAGTGTTGTCAGGTATGTTCAGACAGTATTCACAAGTGGTAAGATTGGGAATGAGCTATGTGAATCTCTCATTGTCCTAGTTCCAAAAGCTAGGTATCTAGAATATGTCTCATAATACAGACCTATTAGTTTATCACTTGTCATTTTCAAGGTATAAATGAAGGTAATAACTAATAGATTAAAACCATATATGTCTACATTAATAGCAGAAACCCAGTCTAGCTTCATCCCGGAGCGAGCAATCATTGATAATGTAATAGTGACTCAAGAAGTTATGCACTCCTTTAGAAGGAAAAAAGGTAAGGTGGGGTGGATGATGTTGAAAATTGATTTAGAAAAGGCTTATGACAGACTCTATTAGGAATTCATACATGATACGTTACTTGACGCACGCATTCCTGGCCAACTTATTGATGTGTTGATCCAAAGGTAGAAATATTCCAGTTGTCAGATCCTTTGGAATGGTGTGCCTTCTGAATCCTTTACACCATCTAGAGGTGTGAGACAAGGTGATCCACTCTCCCCATATCTATTTGTTTTATGTATTGAAAGGTTATCACATGCTATTAATAAAGCAATGGAACAGGGGTTGTGGAAACCAATTAAATTGGGTCGACACTATCCTCCTATTTCTCATCTCTTCTTTGCCAATGATGATCTCATCTTATTTGCAGAAGCTTTAGTTGATCAAATGAGGATTATTAATGGGGTCTTAGGCGATTTTTGTGTTTGCTCAGGGGAAAAGGTAAGTGTTCAGAAATCTTCCTTTTGCTGCTCGGCAAATGTTTCTAGGGAATGTATTGAGAACCTTAGGAACTGTTCAGGTTTCTCTTATTCTAGGAACTCAGGCACCTACCTAGGTGTACCACTATTTCAAGGAAGGAAAGGTATTACATCTTTTAAGTTTCTAAAGGATAAAATGAAAAGTAAATTGAGCAGTTGGAAAGCTTCTTCATTGTCCTTTATTGGTAGACTTACACTAGTAAAATCAGTACTATCTACTATTCCATATTATGTGATGCAAACAGTTTTTGTTCCTCTAGAATGCTGTAAACGAATTGAGCGGTACTGTCGTAATTTTCTTTGGGGTGGAGAAGTTGACCACCAATGTATCCATTTAATTAGGTGGAATCAAATATGTAGACCCAAGGAGGAAGGTGGGATGGGAGTGAAAAGGTTACATTTGATGAACAATGCCTTCTTAATGAAATTGGTATGGCAACTAGTGACTCGACCCAAGGCCTTATGGGTTAGCATTCTCAGTGGGAAGTATGATTTTAATATTGATCAACGGCCCAACTCAATCTTCCGTTATGGAGCATCGCAGACTTGAAATTCACTAAGTAAGCTGTGGAGTAGTTTCAATAATAATATACATTGGGTCTTAGGCGATGGTCTCTCGACCCGTTTCTGGAAGGATGTTTGGTTTGAGGATACCACTCTTGCCGAACAGGGCCACCTTCCTAGTATTGTTTCAAGTGAGAATTGCTATGTTCGAGAGTTCTTATTAGATACTAGAGAGTGGGATCAAGAGAAGCTAACTACCTGCCTACCTGGTGAATTAGTGAGTAAAATCCTGATGGTACTTCCTCCATCGTTATCTTTGAAGCCGGATACTCCATACTGGGCTCCATCAGCTTCAGGGGTTTACACTGTAGCGTCAACATATGAGTTGTTGAGAAAGGATTATCCAGACTATCTAGGACAACCAAGTAAAAAATGAGATATTGCGTGGAAATGGGATAGCCCTCAACGGATACGTACCTTCCTAGTGCAATGTCTTCATGGTAAATTATTGACAAATTTGGAACGAAGGAAAAGAAACATGTCATCCTCGCCTTCTTGTGTTTTATGCTCATTATCGGATGAATCAGTCCTGCATCTCTTAAGAGATTGCCCACATGCAAAAGAGGTATGGTTGAAATTGGGAACACGAATGGATCACGGGAACTTCTTTGTATTATCATTATCAGATTGGCTGATAGCTAATCTAAAAGATTATAATATTTTGTGTTGACAGTATTCCCTAGGCTATTCTATTTGGATTCACATGCTGGTATATTTGGAAGTGGAGGAATGTTAAAGTTTTTGAAGGCAAATTGGTCCCTTTGGCTGGTAAGTTATCAATGCTAAAAGGTCTTGCTGTTGCATCGCATAATGTTGTCACAATTCCTTGCACACGTAGTAGTCCAAACGGCTATAAAAGAGAAATGCTAGTAGGATGGCAAAATCCTCCGCAAGGTTGGGTGGCAATAAACTCAAATGGCGCATTACGTCGCAGTACTAACTTAGCTGCTACAGGTGGTGTTCTATGTGATTATAACGGATATTGGTTAGGCAGCTTTGCTGCAAAGTTGGGAAGGTGTTCTTCTTATATAGCTGAATTATAAGGAGTCTTACACAGTCTTCATATAGTAAGGGATAAAGGATTTCGTAGGATATGGCTACAGGTGGACAATAAAATCGTGGTTCAGGCAATTACCGCCAATGCATCACATCCATGTGCGAATTATGACTTATTGGACTCTATTCGCAGATTGCTGCAACTCGACTGGGAGGTGAAGATTTCTCATATTTATCGAGAACGGAATATGGTAGCAGATGGCATGGCCAACATTGGATTTAATTGAGATAATAGTTTTAGTTTTTATGATGTACCTCATCTAGAAGTCAATTCTATGCTGTTCAATGACTTGTTAGAAGTGTGTTTTTCAAGAATGATTAGAAATTAATAAAAATTCTATTAAAAAAAAGACCCTCTTTTCTCAAGGACATATCTCTAATATTTTAAATTATGCTTCAATACCAATTGACATTATTTATTTTAATTTATGAAATATTGTTCATTTTAACTTGCTAGTCTCATGATTGTCTCAAATTGAAAATGGTGTATGTGAAATTCAGAGCTTTCAATTGGGACCATGACATTATGACAAACGAGAATAACGACCACTAGATTAAGGTTTTGATATGAGTTATGATTGCGTAGATATTAGGCAAACACAGTGTTAATGTCACACGACATCTCTGTGACGGCAATTGGCACCAGAAAATTAAGGTGCATTGTACCATGCTGCAGTAGGAAGATGCTTTTCCAGGTGCCAATGCCCAATGCTTTTGTCGCTTTGGCATATTCCTTGCCCAATCCCATCAATGGGTTTGATTTCAAACCATTTCATGCTTGGGTAATTTCGGTGTCAATCTGTGCCTATGGGCCATATCCTGCCCCCTTTTTTTCCCCTTTTTTTCAGTTAGTCCATTGCTTTTGTACACACTCAAATTCTACCAAAACTTAATAGCAAAAGATGGAAGCGAAGATAACTCAATTTTATTTATATTTCTGATGGTTTTGCTGAGCATAACAAATTGAAGCATCAAGCGTTTGTTCTCCCAGCTTTTAGGGCACTTATATATACATACACATATACAAAGACAAATGATTCATCCCACAATCATTATGTACAAAGGGACAACCACCATTTTTGGGGTGTTGCAAGGCTGTGGGGTCATTACTCCATGCATAAGATTAATTTACAATTTTTGTTCAAATGTAAGGATTTATATGGGATGAGTAGTCACGGATTCCGGCTCCTTCCCATCCCATCCATTCTTCCCACATATCCCAATCCGGATCGTCCATGCCTCTCATTGGCTCATCGATCCCTTCATCAAACGCCTCGTACATCCGTGACTCGATCGATTCCCCTCTGAAATTGCTCATCACAATCTGCAGAGCGCCACCAATATCAGATAACACTTGTATACTAGTCTGCACTACATGAACAGAGGATTGTCCCCTGACAGGTGTGGACAAAACAATACTTATCTCTACTAAATGTCAATTATTGACTCCTCAGGTAAATGGTTTGGGTCATAATGAGGGGCGGTGGCCCCATCTACATCATTAGGGTTGGCTGCATGTTACAAACCACCCGAATATACCGTGTGTTTCTTTAACAAGTTAAAAAGGGTGGAAATCATCCAAACTGAAACAGCATTTTCCAAACTAAAGGAAATTAGTCATGAACTTGACCAATAATTTAGTGCCACGTCGTTTGCTCTCAATCATTAATTCTTTCTTTTCTTTCCTTTTCTTTTTGGCTCATATTAGATACTCCTAATTTCTGATTCATAACATAAAGGGCAAGAAAATAAAACTAAATCTTAATAATACCCAAAACTGTTTATAAGAAGTATCTGATATGAGGAAAGAACACATACATCGTAAGCTTCGTTAATCGTTTGAAACTGAACCCCACAATTGCTTCCTCTGCAAACGTCCGGATGATACTGAAACGAATCAAAAACACAAACCCCATCAATCGACCAATAAATTCCCACAATCAAATCAATACAGGAAATGAAACTTTCATTAGAAATAGAAAGAAGAAAGAAGGGATTCAAAGTACCTGAAGGGCAAGTTGCCTGAAGGCCTTTTTGACCTCAGATTCAGAGGCACCACGATGGATCCTAAGGGTTTTGTACGGATCCATCACAGAAGAGGCCGAGCAACGAACTCTTACTCTGATCACAGTCTTCTTCTTTCCCTTTTCCTTAACTTGCATCCATGAAGAAGAACCGTTCCTACCAATCATCCGGACAGCACTCGCCATTGTCAGAAACAAAATGAACCCAAACTCAAATATTAAAAGCCAAAACAACCCAAAGCTCAAAAATGAAAAGAAAAAACAATAAAAAGCTGCTTTTGGAAAATGGACGGGGTTGATTGATAATCCAAAAGGAATAGTGTAATAATAGATATGGAGGGACTGTTCAAACGAGGAGAGGGTTACATTTATAGAGGGAAAAGTTGATGGGAGAGAAGGGAGGGTCCTTATCCAAAGGGACCGGCTTGGGGGGTGACGTGTAGGAAAGTCATGGCTTGTGGGGTTGGGGGAGAGAGAGAGAGTGGGGAACCAAAGACTTATCTACTCAGAAGGGGTGACTTCTGTTTTGGCTGTTGTTTACGTTGTCAAGGTTTACCAAATTTCGTAACGGGAAAGGTTTATTTTAAGTATATTCTTTATCTTTTGTTATTTCAATCATTCCCTCTATCTTTTATTTTTTTCTATTGTAATCCCTTTTAAGGAAGTTTCCATTTTATTTTTTATTTTGAAATTATAAAATATTAAATGAAATATTGATTTTGTTTTATTTTAAAAATAATATGCATTAAACAAATCATAAGCAAATGATATGTACATTGTTAGGTAAGGCCTTCATTCTTGAATCCTTCCCCAACAATTAATAAAACCATCAAATGTATGCTTGTAATTTAAGGTATTAGGTAACTACATTTGACCTTAATTTTTTATCATTGAACACCTAACTTTAAAAACATTATTTTTTGGAAGCTAAGATTAAAGAACCCATTGTATTCCATGATTTTTATATGAAAGAAAATAATGTCACACTTTGATTTTCTTCATTCATTATTAATATAGTATTTGTAATATATAGCCATGCATGATAAAATCTACCTTTTTTTTTCTTCCTTTTCCTTTTTGAGGGAGCAAAAATTAAATAATATTCCTTTAAGTTCAATTCATGGTCAAAATTTTTAAAAATAAAAATAAAAATTCATCATTAACATTTAAAATTGAAAGTCAAAATTAATTAATTCAAGTCATAATGACTTATTTTTTTTTATTTTTGGAAAAAGTGGGTAGATTATCATTATTTAATTGAACTAATATAAAAAGATTAATTAGCAAAATGGTCACAAATTAATTATCTAAAAAAAGAAAAATAAAAGAACAAATCACAAATCAACCTAGTACTGGGAGTTTTAGGTAGATTTGGTGTGTGTGACTTTTTGACACGTTGGTATTGTCGGTGGTTGGCACGTGGGTGTCCCTGGTGCAAGTAACAAGACAAGATTTGATAGGTCTATTAGATGGGTTAGATGACTTTCTGTACAGTCAAAATATTAACTAAATTTCGGTATTCGTATATTTTATTTAATTTAATTTTTTTTAAAATTAAAATAATTTAAGTTTTTAATTTTAAAAATATTTTAATTTAATTTTTTTTCTTAATTATATTTAATTTTATCATTAAAAGAGGTTATATCAACACTGATATAATATATTTTAATGATATGACATCCACACGATGACATGAGGTTTCATGTGACATTAAGGTATGAATATTACTATATATGTTTTTCAATTTAATCCTTATGATGTGATACAAAAAAAAAATTTTAAAATTTTTTTTTCATCTGTCACGTAACACTGACACGTTAGTATGTTAGTACTACATCAATATTACTACGTTATCATGTTAGTACCATGTTATCATATTAATCATGTGACACTGTTACGTCATCACATAAATACCATATTATCAAAATATGCCATGCAACGTTGATGTCATTCGTTTTAATAATAAAATTGAATGCTTTTGGAGAGAGAAACTAAATTAAAATAATTTTTAAAATTAAAAAATTAAATTATTTTAATTTTGAATATATAAATTAAATAAAATAAAATAAATAAATACAAAAACTTAGTGGATATTTTGACCCATTCTATATTATGTGCAACATCTTCATTACACTAATTCTTTTATTCATAGAGAAGAGAAAAGGGAATTTATGTCTATTTTAATTTTGATATCTCTATAATACATCATTCAAAATTTTAAATCTATTTTAATATTATTTATCATAAATAGACACTTTTAATGTAAAAAAATATAATAATAAAATATTTTTATTTATAAATACAAAACTTATCTTATATCTTCTTGCAATAAGATCCGTGACAACCGTGGTGACCCGCAAGTTTAGAAAAGGGTTTCCGGTTTTTTTTTTTAAAAGTTTTGTACATAAAACCGTAAACAGATTGCGTAATGTCTCTGCCCAAAATAAAAAAAATAAATAAATAACGCAAATAAGTGATAAAGTTTGTTGGACCACATATTTGTCGAACGAGTGGATAAGTAGATTTACGTGTTTACACGTGGTTCACATGCATATTCAGAATTTAAATATGAGTTTTCCTTCCTTTCAGCAACTTTCCTAGAATCCGACGCCCTTGACTATGCCACATCAGATTTCTGCCACATCGTGCACGTTTAATTTCTGCTATACTTGAATGTCGGCAAATTTGTTTTAGGATAAGGTACGGCTTCCATGCACGTCGCATGGCATCATTTGATTTATTTAACTATATTTTGACACACGTGATTAACAGAAAAAAAATAAAAAGTTTTTCTTTAATTCTATGTGCAAAAAATGGAATTTAAAAACAAAATCAATTTAAATCCTCTTTTATACAAGACTAAAATTAATGAGATTTATTTTTTTCATTTTATACATTTTTATGTGGCTTAATTATGTGTCAAGTAAATTCTCCAATTAATATCACTTCACCAATGCTATCAAATACAATAAGATGACAATAATATATTAGAATAAATAATAGAAGAGGAATAAATGTTTGTATTTATTATTTAAAAGGTTGAATTCAAATAATTTTTTTAAATAAAAAAGATGTAAAATTAAAATTTCTCATAGACTTATAAAAAAAATTTACTCAATAGTAGGTATACGTAACTACAAAAATATAATTTTTCACCTATGAAATGCATTTTGACCGGATCTCAATGATTCTATCCATAATATACTATGAGGACAAACAAGATGAGATGTCTAACCAAAGCACGATTGAAAAGGGTGGAACGGTACGTTGAAGGCAAGGGATATTTAAATAACATTCTAGATGAGATTGTTTTTTTTTTTTAAATGGCTTACTAATTACTATTAATTAAAACGTTATTTGTCATTTTATATTTATGTGATGTTAACATAAAAATTAAAAATACTATATGATCATTTTATCATAACACTTTAACATATCACGTTATCATTTATTATAATAAATCATATTAGCATAGCATAGAATGACAAATAGTATTTTAACTAATAGAAATTAGTTAATCTGTAAGTTGTAAAGTCTTATTTAGTTAAAAATAAAAATATAAAAATTTAATTGAATGTAATAAAAAAATAAAATTTATTTGATTTTTCTCAAATAATTCAACAATTTTTTTTAAATATTATATCTTTGTTCTTTCAAATTTGTACAATATTTATTTAAGTGGACCACCAATTGCAATATGGACAAGATGAAAACGTTGATTTGTCTTCTTCCAAGGGAAGAAAATTTTGAAGAAGCTTCAATCAATAAGAAAGAGAGGCATCACTAGTGCTTGAAGCGAGTTGCCTACTCCCTTGTGCTTATCTCTGTGGGTATTCCAAAATATCCTATTGAGTGTTTGGTAATGCCGTGCTCACTATTTTTATATATAGCCATCAACATCATAAATAGAAGAAAATAAACGTTAAATTTATTATATTAAAATTAAATTATTCTATACAAGCACAATTTTTTTTTCTTTTTAGTTCTTTCTGTTTCAGTAATGTCTTGAATTGCTTTCAAACAAACTTCACCTTTGCACTGTATTTTACTCTTCCTTACTAGATATCTTCTTCGGTTATATTATTTAAATAGGTATAATGTTTAAAAAGGTTCCTAAATTATTTAAAAAAATTTAAATAAATATTTATTCTTTTATTACTTTTAATCAATCTTTTATATTTTTATTTAAATAAAATAAACTCTTATAACTAATGATTGACTAATTACCATTAAATGAAATTTAAATAAAATTTCCCAACCCACAGTATTTCTCTTTTCTCCCATAAGTAAACAAGGTTGGGTAAGTAGTGTTTCTTCTTTGCCACGTTCAAGAGAAAAATGTTTCCTTGACTTAGTGTCACTAATTTCATCAAAAGAGACTTCAAAACTGATTGATTTTCCTGAACATGTTGCTGCCTTCAAGAATTTCTTTTTAAAAAAAAAAAAACAAAATTGCCACTTCGATTAAAGCTGATAGCAAGGTAAGTTCTTTCTTTATTTTTCTTTTTTATTATTCCTTTAATTAGAGACCCTATTTCTTTTGAAAAACGAAGCCACGATGCTGCTGCCATTCATGAAATTGTGCAAAGTACAAATAAATACAAAAAAAATCACGAAAAAGTTACATAGAATAATAGTTTTGTCAGCATTGTGAAGGAGGATTCGAGCTTCCTGTAGTAAAAAGAATGGAGAACATCCGATTAGGAAGAATGCATATAAATATATATTTCTTTTCTCCTGTTTGTTTCTGTTGATTTTTTTAGCAATTACTAATACTATGTAATAGTAATTACAGTAAGTCAAGAAAACCCTTTTATCTTGTGCGTGTTGGACAGTTGATAAGATTTTGAGGCAGGGAGAAGAAAGAGGACATGGGATCGATGGAGATATATAGGGGATTTGCATTCCTCTTTAACTTTATAAATTCCACATTAGCCATCCAAGATTTCCAGCCAAAAATCTCTGGGATGAAATTTGAAATTTTCATTGCTGAGCTGTCTTGAGAAAATTATTATTTATCTTTCATTATCATTTTCATTTAATATTAAAATTTACAAAAAGGAAAAAGGGATTTGTAGATACATTAAATCTTAATTCTATTAAACTCCCAAATATGTAAGCATAAATCAAGAGTGGGGTAGAAGTCTACGAACAGTTGAACTCCTTTGCTTTTTAACAGATAAACCGAAACCCTAACTTAGTGCCTTTTTCGATAATCGAAAAGTCCTCACTTTCAGAAGGCCTGTTCAATCAAAATTAGTGTGAAAGTTGGAAACTTAATTTGGGTTTTTACTGCTTTGGTTTTTGGTGATTGCGTGTTTGTTGAATTGCCTGTTGGAACGTTAAACTCTGCTGATCATGGCTAAGTTGGTGAAACATGAAGGCAACAGCATTGATAGACTAAGTAATTTACCAGATTCAATTATACATCACATCCTATCATTACTTCCCACAAAATTTGCAGTCCGTACTTCCGTTTTATCAACTAGATGGAGGTTTCTTTCTACTTCAGTTTCTACTCTTGATTTTTATGATTATGAGAATCCTTCCGAAAGGTTTATGAATTTTGTGGACAGAGTGTTGTTGTTCCATAATGCGGCATGTATTAAGAGATTTCGTCTCATTTGTGGTGGATTCCATGGAGATGTTGACGCTTATAGAATTTGTGGTTGGATATCTTTTGTATTGCGGCAATGTCTTCAAGAACTTTATTTAGAGATACAGATTGGAGACCCAAGGGGTATGCTACCTCTGAGTCTCTTTAGGAATAAGACACTCACGAAATTGGAGCTAGATGTTTCAAAGTTTGTTATGACCATTCCTACTAAGGTCTGCCTTCCAAGTCTTAAGAGTCTCCATCTTGACTGTTTAGAATTTGTCGATGATGATTCAGTTCGAAGGCTTTTCTCTAGTTGCCCTGTGCTTGAAGACTTGTTTATATGCTCTTGTCTTTGGCGCAATGTTAAAGAGTTAAATATTTCTAATCCTTCACTCAAGAGATTGACTTTGAACTTTTTCGGTGATTGTGGCCAACTTTTTCATGTTGTCATTGATGCCCCAAATCTTGTCTACTTCAAATTCTATGGGACTTTAGTAGAGAGATATTCATTTGTAAACCTACATTCTCTTGCAAAGGTTGATATGAGAAATCTAGTTAATCTTGAAGAAACATTGGTCAACCAAGATGCTGCAACTAATTTTTTTAATGGAATTAGTAATATTCGATCACTTTATTGCAATGATGATTTATTGTGGGTAAGTTCATTTACTTTTTTTGTTGACACTACATTTTGAAATATAGTTGGTACAAGCATTCCGTAATTGATAGTTGCAAATGAAACCCAGAAAGATACTTGTAAATTCTTAACTGATGTGTTTATGCTTTTAAGTAGTGTAATATCTTGAATTTACAATTTCATTGTAATTTAAAATCTAACACAACCTTTTTATTATTATTATTGTAATTTTAGCCTCTAAGTTTGTGCAACAAGCTCGTGCCCGTGTTTCGTAACCTGGTTCATGTAGAGATTAGAAGAAAATGTTTGAGGCAAAGATCTGGATTGGATGAGTTACTTGAAAGTTCAATTAGCTTGAAGACTCTTGTTATTCATAATGTATGAATTAAAATATATCTAATAGTTATTTGACAGTTGTAAAATTGCAAACACTTATTATCTTCTTTTTTTTTTGGGTGTTTAGGGAGCTTTTGGAGATCTATTTTGGTATCGACCTGAAAAGGTACCTTCTTGTCTCTTGTCTCACTTTAAGGTGATTGAAATCTATTCATTTAGTGGTCATATGGAAATGGTTGAGTATTTTCTAAAAAATGCAAGAGTTTTGGAGAAGCTCAAAATACAAATGGCCCTGAAAGTTAGAAAACAATTTGAGATTACCAAGAAACTGTTGATGTTACCAAGGGAATCAAAGATATGCCAAGTGGAAGTGGTCTAATATCCTTCATCTTCATCATTTTGAAAGTTGCAGCTTCTTTTGTGCACAGATTTACTTTTGGTGACAGAAGAATTTATTCTTCTGGTTTGGGATTCTCTGTTTCAGCTTGGATTCTGTTTTATGAGGCATGAGCTGTATGTATTATGGCTCATGTTAGTGACATATAGCAGTTGAATTCATTTAGTGGTATACATATATATATATATATGTAGCTTGTTTTGACTGTAAATAATCCTTATCATAGGTACATCCTACAAAACACTACCTATATTCACATTGAGTTGGTGATTTGTTCATTATCTTGATTAGTTTAAGTCATGGATGCAATTGGGTTCGATGAATGTTGCCTAAAACAAACGCAATGAAAATGCAATTTCTTGTTTTGGTGAGAGTTGAACACATTATCTTGACAATTTTTTAATGCTGTGGGGGCATTAAGTATGGAATTTATATCTTTCCACCTTAAGCTTTTATACCCTATCTTGGTGTGGGTCAAGGGAGTGAATGGAGGCCATGCAAGGCCCATGCCGTTAGAAAAATTACAGAAAACAAAGGAACAAAATAGAATAATAAAGAGGCACGTATCCCCCCTGACTGTTGAAACAGATCATGACGAAGGCTGAAACGGTCCCCCAAGTAAATGTCCATAGAAAAGAGAGAAATGGGTAGAAAATTTGGCATTCCCATCCCATTTCGCCTCTATAAAAGCTAATGCAGATGGCAGAACATTTCCACACTGTTTGGGACTTGGGGAGGTAAAGCAGATGGCGGCAACATTTACTAGAGGAGCTCATACAATTAATTCCATATTTTCCAAGTAAGCTTTTCCAATTTTTCCTAAAAACAAAGCTTTCATCTTTACATTATATTTTGGTATTATTTATGACTTAAAACATTACATACCCTATTAATTATAGTATCAATTACACATACTACAAAGTATTCGTTATAGTATCAAAACATGAGAAGTTGACTCCATTGATAATTTACTCTATCAACGATATTAAGCACTAGGTCTTGAATTTAAAACTTATCAATGGTTTGTCTTAGTGCTATCCTAATATGGAAGTAATTACATCCAAATAAGGAACCCTAAAAAAAGATTTGGTAATTATATACATTGACTATATTAGATAAGTTAATTTGTTCATTTAAGCATGTTTCTTTGTCTTACTGCATTAGTGCTTGTGTTTACATTTGTGAAAGCAGGCCAACAATAAGAAAGAACTGCAGCAAGGGCAGCAGTTGCGGTGATACACGACGTGAGCCCATGAAACTGGAAGCTGAGGAAGTGAAGAAGAATAGCATGGGAGGTCAACATGATGGGAGTTGGTGGGTTCCCCATGACCGGACTGGAATATATTATCCCAAGGGCCAAGAGAAAGTGATGGCTGATGTCCCTGCTGCAGCTGGGAAGGATGCTCAGATCAATTGGTTCTCACACCACTAGAGCTATGCCAGAAGCCGGCGTCTCTTATGTATTTTTATTTAAAATATAATTTATAATAACTATTGGATCAACTCATGTAATTGGTCTTTGCACTCTATCAAAGGGTTAGATTTAACTTCTATATAATAATTTGTAATAATTGAATCTTATACTTTTCAAAATTGATAATGATAATTTAATCATTAACTGTGTTAAAATTTTTCATGATATTTGCCTACGTTGATGTGGCATTTTGTTGTTGATTGAATTTTATGACATGGCTTCCAAGAATAATGCAATGATTGTGCTGAGATTGTGTTGATCAAATACAAATATGAATTTAAAGTGATGATGTGATGTTGATGAAGTGTTACTATGTTGCTAATGTGGAATTTTGGTAATTTACACATAATAAATGCTAGTTTTTGGAAATGAATGTTATTATGTTTTGTGCAAGATTTTTGCGATTTACTTACGTATCAATGTCTATATTTATCAACCCTACATCAATATAATCATTACATCATTTTTAAATGTCATATCATCAGATGCAATGTTATATCAACAAGAATATAACATGTTGTTATATTCGAATACCATGTCAATATAGACAAGGAGAAAGTTTTAACGTTGTCGATGATTGGGTTCACATTATCAATTTCGAAATATATAGGGACTTAAGTTTTATAAATTGTTATATATATGAATTAAATATACTATTTTGACAGAGTATAATAATTAATTACATAATTTAATTTAAATGTTAAGTTATAATATTGTTGAATTATATAATTTGTTAATTTAATATTTAAAATTTGATCTTATATACTAATCCAAGTGAACTTATTAAGATTAAGGCCTAACAAATCAACTTTGAGTGTCTCAAACTCAAAAGTTCGACTCAGTCAGCTTCCAACGTGACTGATAAATTAAGGCAGATAAAAGTGACCCACCACTTATTGTGATTAAGCCTCACCCTCACATGTCACCTATAAACCCATTCAACAATAATTTGCTACGTCTAATTAAACAAAAGAAAAATATTTTGGTTTTTTTAAAAAAGAAATATTAATATTTTTGAGATAACATAAACTTAAATTGCTTTTTTTTTTGGAAAAAAAATGGTCATAGATAAAAATGCCTTTCATTAATTTTAAAAATTATAATTCTATACAAGATCCATTTTATTCAATGTTTATAATTTCTTTCTCTCTGTAACCATCTTCCTCACTCATTCTCACACTAAATTTCCTCCACCACTGATTGCTAACAGGAGTGTTAGATCGATGCTGATAGATGAGAAGAAAGAAAAGAAAAAGAAAAACCTTAAATGAATTTAAAATAAAAAAGTTTAAATTTTAATTATAAATTATAAAAATTAAAATAAAATTTTAATACAAATTATAAAAACTAATATTTTAAATTTAAAAATTAAATTAAAATTATAAATTATAAAAATTAAAATTTTAATTATAAATTATAAAAGTTTAATATTTTAAAATTAAAGAATAAACTAAAATAATGATATTAATGTATTAATTATTAATATTTTAAATGATATTTAAATTATTAATGTTCTAATTTAAAATAAATAATCATAAAAATATATATTAATATAATAATATTTAAATTAAAATAAATTATTATTTATTCAAATAACAGTATCCCAAGTCAAAAGCCTAAAAATATATCCAAGGCTCGACTTATATCACGCTAAACTCGATTTTGTTAAATCCAATTGTTCGGGTTGTATTAAGTGACACTGAAACAAATCAAAAACTAGTTCAGTTGGTTTCCTCTTAAAACCAAAATTTTAACTTCATTTTATCAGTTGTAAAATTGAAAGATTTAAATTAGATATAAATAATATCTAACGTCTAAATAAAAATATTCTAAAAAAGAGAGTAATATGTGTGATTGATTAGGAAGTTTAAATAATTATTATTAAAATAATATATATAAATTTAAAAAATATAATATTTAAATTCAATTGATTCGATTATTTCAATTAAAAAATTTAGACATCTAAATTAACCAAACACGATTAATTAATTAATTGAATCGAATGGACTAAACTCGAATCCGTTCAGTCAATTTATTTCGGCCCAACGTCAATATTTTGAAGAAGTTGGGCCAGAAGATGCACAAGTTGGGCTTGGTTGGCATTTTTGCCCTAAAACCATTTAACCCATGTGGCAAAATCCTATAGGTCCGCTAGTATAAGAAACACCTACACCAGCAGCACAGAAGATAAAAAAGAAACGAAGACTGGCCGGTAGTTTCTCTCGTGCAAACGTTTTTTTCCACTCAACCAACTTTCTTTTTTTCTTTTTATTTCTTTTAATTATTTCTTTTGAAGCTAACAAAATACTTCAAAACAAACAAGTATCTAATTAAAACCCTCCCAGAAAAAGAAAAAATAAAAAACCGAAAAGAAGGTTTGTAATGTTGTGTTGCTGTAGGAATTTTGAGGAAGAAGAGATCTGAGAAGAAAAAGAAATCAATATATATATTTATATATTTATATCTATATCTGCGGAGGAGGAGGGTAGTGTGATAGTGGGTCATGGAGATGAATAACAACGGAGCCGCCACGAGCTCCGCTGCTGCTGGTGGAGGTGGCGTTTCAACTTCAACCTCTGATTCATCTTCAGCGGCCAAAAGGAATTCCAAAAAACCAAAATGTCTGTTCCCTTCGTGCCCCCCTTCTTGTTAATCTTTTCCCACTAATATCTGCATTGCTGAATTGGGTTTTTATATATTATTCTTTTTCCTTTGATGAATCTGTTACAACGGGTGCAATGTGGCTATAATACCCAACAACAAGTAACAAGGAAAAATGAATTCTGGGTTTTGCTTACAGTTATTGATTGTAATTTTATGTTTAATGAGACTTGTTAGGATACGTATAATTTTCCTGGTAAATGGTTGCTGATTTTATATTATCTGTTTTTCTTTCTTTTTCATATACAGTTTTGCAAATTAAAAATGGGCTTATGGTTATTTTCGTCCCTTTGTTGGGTTGCAGATTCTAGGTTCACACAGCAAGAGCTTCCTGCTTGCAAGCCCATTCTCACACCAGGATTGGTATGTTTAAAACTCTCTTTGTCGAATTTTTCTTTCTGGGTACATGTGACAAACTCCAAGGGAGAGCCTAGACCTTAACCTTCTTAAGGAGCGATAACAACTGCTAGAAATCTTGTGTTCAATTACTAGGATTGTGGAAGTTGTGGTTTCTGTTTCACATTTGTATTAATGCAAGCTTACATTTTCCCTTGTTGTTATATATATATATATATTTGTGGTGGATTGCAGGTCATTACAACATTTACCATCATTGGAATCATCTTTATCCCAATTGGACTTGTTTCATTGTCTGCATCAGAGCATGTAGTGTATTCTTCCTCTTTTAACATCTCTACTTCAACGAGTTTGTTCCTTACCATTTATTTATGCTGAACTTCTTTGCTGTCTTTGACGTATAGGTGGTGGAAATTGTGGACCGCTATGATGAAGGCTGTGTTCCTCCTAATTATTCCAAAGATAAACTTGCATACATCCAAAGCAGTCTAACTAACAAGTCTTGCACCAGGACGTTGAATGTTCGTCCAAATCCTTCTCTATTTTTTATTTTGTTCAAGGACTCCTGTCTTATATCTCTTTTACAGATGCTGCTTTTCCAGCATTGATTTATCCTCTTTTTGCCTCTCTTTTTCAGGTTCCTAAGCTGATGAAAAGTCCTGTTTTCATCTATTATCAGCTTGATAACTTCTACCAGAACCATCGGCGGTGTGTAGTTCTTCTTTGTAGAAATGTTCTATACTTATATTAATTCATTCATATCATGTTTAAGTTTAGTGTCTGTTTCTATTTTATTGTATTTAAAATACCTGATTTAGGTTCATAACTCTTTCATGAAAGGTTTTGGAGTATTTATTATGCTGCTAAATGCTAAGTAATGCATCTTATTTGTATCGTGCTTGACTTGAAAATCCTTTCCAGTATTGTTACTTTTCATCTTGAAATTTTTTTTACATTTTTGTGGGAAATTGCTTGCAGTTATGTTAAAAGTCGAAGTGATAAACAGTTGCGGAGCAAGGCATATGAGCGTGATACAAAAAGTTGTGACCCTGAAGGTTTTGTATTAGATGGTCCGATTGTTCCTTGTGGCCTCATTGCATGGAGTTTGTTCAATGACACATATGGATTTTCTGTGAAAAGTAAGATGTTAGAAGTCAACAAAAAGAACATAGCATGGGACAGTGACAAAGAACATAAATTTGGATCTGATGTTTACCCAAAAAATTTCCAGAGTGGAGGTTTGATTGGAGGTGCAAAACTGAATTCGAGCATACCTGTAAGGCTTGCTTGTTATGTTTCTATTGTATTACATAATACAATCCTTTTTTTCTTCCTTGTCTTCTTTCCTTTGGGCCACGATTTTCATTACTCTTCTGCATGCAACAGTTAAGTGAACAAGAGGATCTTATCGTTTGGATGCGTACAGCAGCACTACCAACTTTCAGAAAACTCTATGGGAGGATAGAGGAGGACCTCCAAGCCAATGAGCAAATTACTGTTGTAATACAGAACAATTATAACACCTACAGTTTTGGGGGCAAGAAGAAGTTGGTACTTTCAACCACAAGTTGGATTGGTGGAAAAAATGATTTCCTTGGCATAGCATATATTAGTGTAGGGGGGCTGTGCTTGTTTTTGGCAGTAAGCTTCATACTTCTTTATGTTATCAAGCCAAGGTGAGTTAATACTTTAATTTTTACCAACTACCATACATATTAGTAAATTTAAACATTCTTTATAATGTAGTTGTGAACATTCTTTTGGAAAGTAATCAAAGTTAGGCATAAGAGTGGTATTTTTTAAAAGTCATCATAAGCATGAAAAATTTAACTTAGACTATGTTAAATATAAGTGAAACTTCAGGCAAGAACATTTTTATATTCAGAACAATATTTCCTGTCAGAATGTTTTCCTTGCTAACTGCTTGACTGATGTTTAATGAATTGTAAAAAAGAATTTTGCTATTTGTTTTATGTTTGATTTGAGATTTAAAGTAGCCATTTCTCAAAATATCAAACTCAAATGTCATAATTTAATTGTTACGGTTATCTGTAAACTGTGAGTTTTCTGATTGTGGAGATCATACATTGAACCTTGAAATGAAGGAGAGAAAATGTTTTCAAAAACTAAACTGGGGTTTTTTGGTTATGTAAGATCCTGTACTCTTCTATCATAGTTACAAGGATCATATGAATAGAAATTCAACCTTAGTATTCATACGATGATCAATGCTTATGATTGAAACTTTCTTGTCAATTTCATTTTATATTATTATTACTTTTGTTCTAAGTATGTACTGTGTATGAGAAGGATCTTGCATTTTGTGCAGGCCTCTTGGTGATCCGTCCTACTTGTCTTGGAACAGAAGTCCATCGGGCCATCCAAATTAGGATTGCTATAAATTGAACTTCACTTATTCAGCTTCTTATAAATCCATCTTCCGCTCTGAGTGTACTTGTTTTTGCCAAAGTTAGTATTTAGATTTCTGAAAAATATCATCAATTTGCATTGACTATGCAATACCGTTTACATCAAAAAACCTTATGGTAGACATAGTTTTTATGCTTTTGTCCAGTTTTTATGATAATTCTGTCATGAAATTGCTCATTCATTCCTTCTGAAGGATGTGATTTTTGGTTTGATTTACAGTTAATACAAAGATAAAAATTCCTGGATAACCTTGTTCATAATGTTGCAATTTATTTTGGGAAAGCTAGCATTTCAAGCTCAGGATTCTTCAGCTAGCACGTATTCCTTCTTCATTCGGACCCCATAGATTCATTTATACTGCCTACAACTGGATTGTACCAAATTTTAACATACTTTTCTGTTGCTCTGCATATCTAGTAAGTAGGATCTATTATGAACTTATATTTTTTCCTATTCCTGGATGAAAGGATATCTGAACATTCATTTCCTATTTGCTTGTTCTATATGGGGACAATCCAACCCCAATATTTATTTTGAACCTGTTAAAATAACTAACATTTTTTTATACCTGTCATTTGTATTTTAAGGGGATTAGCCACTCTACAACGCAAAAGAAATATTCTTTTTAATTGTTAGAATTATTTTAACACCAAATATATACCAACCAACCCAAAGTAAGGGCCCAAGTAGTTATAATGTGTGAAATTTACTAGGTTAATAGAAATCGACTAGGTTGGTTATGAGCTGATGCGTAAAATTGGTTAGCTTTAATTAGGAATCAAAGAGAGTGAAAAGTGGAAGACTTGGTATAAGTGGTGATAAGATGGTTAAGAGCTCTCACAACTTAGCAACTGTCCATGAAAGCTAAGCTGGTTGCGCTGCTTTTCCGGAAGGATTCTCTGCTTCGTCAGGTGGTCTTGGCTTTTTCTTCCCTTGCTTAGGCGTGCAGCGGTGCTATGTTGGGTCTGCTGGCGTTCTTCAAGATTTGGCTTTCCAGCGGTATTTTTTCTTTTTCTCCTTCCGAGGCCACAGTTTGAGGGCTTTCTCTTCTTGATTGGTGCTGCTTTGTGATGATATGTTTTGACTCCTTTTCTGCAAAGCTAGTTGTTTTATGCCAATATGAGTCTCCTACCTTCACGGTTCAAGACTCATGGTGGCAACCTGGCTGCGGAATGATTAATAACAATCAGTCAATTACCTTTCCAAAAATCTCCGGAAAGAATACGACCAAGTCTGTACGACCAGTCCCATCGTAACGAGACTGACACAAACACAACTTTTACTACGATTAGGTGGAGAAGAAATTCCATTTCTCCCATCATACCTTGTAGACGCTTACCAAGAAAATACCCCATTTCCCCAAGTTCTTAACATGAATTAAACTTCTAGACGCTAGTCGTTTCGGACGAGCAAATTAGTCGTTCGTGTTCTGTTGTCCAGCCCACACGGACCATTAGGAAACCCCCGTTGTCCAAGTCTTTTGCTCTGTTCCAAAGTTAGTGCTCCTTACAGGCCCTGTTAATTTAACCTCATCGACGTTTTAGACATCTAAATATACGCTTCATAGAATTTACCAAGTGCCTCTTGGGCCAAAAGTGAAGGGTGGAAAAAGCCCATGATCCAAGTCCATTCTTATTTCTTTAGTTGGCGGCTCTTCTTGTGCGAATTTGTTCTACTGATGAAATTTTGCAGAATTCTTGACATTGGATTCCAACTACAAAGAGTATATAATCCCGTAAGCTTAAGAGGCAATCAGTTGGAAAGAATATGTAGACTTATTATGTTGTAACTACTCTATTTGTATTTTCTTGATTTTAATCTCCATTAAAAATTCTTTCCATGTCGAAGTCTGAAATTTTTGGATTCATCTCATGATCAAATAAAACATTACTTGCTTTAAAGTCTTCGTGAATAATTCTGAGACGAGAGTCCTCGTGCAAATACATGATACCTCGAGCAATTTTTTTAATAATGCTGAATCATTTTAGCCAAGACAGTTGTGCAACTATGCTCGAATTTGACAAAGGGCCTAAAATGGAAAAAAAGAAAAGTGGCAAAAACCAATGACTAGTTAACTTTTTCATTTCAAGGTAGTGTTGTTTGTTAAAACTTCAAAGGTTGAAGGATCAAAGCAAATAGGAAAACATCAAGGCTTCTGTTGGGCATGAATTCATATACCAGCAACTTTTCATTTTTCTTTAAGCAACATCTTAAGAGCCTCACCAGATTTCTATGTTGTAATCGGGTAATTAACATGACTTCATTGTTGAACTCAAGCAGCCCTTGACTAGAAGTTCTTGAGAGTCTTTTAACTGCAATTTCTTTACCATTTGATGGTGTACTTTGGAAGAATTTATTAATTTATGTAAGATACCATAATTCAACTAAAAATGTCTCAAGATGCTTCATTCACTCACATGAAGCTCTAAATATTGCGCAATTAACTTATGAATCAAACTTTAATCGTAATTAATTACCTCATACACAGGGTCAAATCCACCTTTTTGGAACTTATTTTTATCACAAAAGTGATTTGTCGCGACATGTAAAATATTCAATTGAATTGAAGGAAACTCTTGAGATCTTGACACCTTTGAAAATAAAATGTTTCAAATAATGGAATCAGGAAAAGTCCTGTTCAATTTTGTAATGAAATATAAATAGATTATTTATAGAGATAATCTATCCTAAACTTATAACGTAAGTAAATTAAATAAAAAAGTATTTTAATCTTTGACTTTCTTTGAGTGCAAGTAAAGTAAATAATATAAAAATAAATATTTTAAAAATTAGGCTTACTTGTTGTGCAAGCAAAATAATCAACTATTTTAATTGTCTCAGAATACGTTACTTGGCTATTAATTTTTTTTTGCCACTATTGGACCCTTGTCATGTAGGCTATCTTGTGCATGTCTATTTGTGCAGGCTGTTTGCGTACAACTCTCTTGCGTGTGTGACCCATATATTAAGTTAATTCTTCTTTTTCTTTTCTTTAGTAAAATTTTCTCTTGAGTGCTCATTGCGAATACTTCCTCCAACAAAGTCAGGTAATTGAACTTTTTGACTATTTTCTTTATCCTCTGTAGTAAAATGGAAATATGATTGACATAATAATATAACACTAATTTTTCATGCCAAGTCGAGATTAATCTAGTGTACCTTGAATATTTCTCCTCCTCTAGATGAAGGCACCATAAATAGAAAATAGAGCTAGCCCAAGAATAGCTGACAAACTTGCACCAAGCGAAATCCACTGTGATTATTTTCATTTTTTTTCTTCTGATTAAGGCACATATTCTTGATTAAGCTCATTGTAATTCTCATGAATATAGGGATAGGGTATATTTGAGACAAGTCATTGTATTGATAATAAGGGAACACGAGAATTATTTTGCTTTGACTTTTCAAATGAGACATTAATTTGAAATGATTAAAAATATAAGAGGAATTAAATGAAATAATAGTATAATTTAGGAGCATTTGAAAAAGTAGCAAATATTTTATTATGAAAGCAAGAGAGAGGGCATGCATGAATAACAAATTACAGAGAAAACTTCAGCTATCTTGAAAAATCAAGCATGAAAAACAAAATCAAGCTGCGATTGTAAAATGGAAAATCCTAGGAATTTTAAATATGAAATTTCCTTGAATTGCATGTCTTGATGCCGATGGTTGAACATTCTATCTAATAATAAAAAATAATTCAAATGAAAATACATATATATCTTCATGTTTTAAAATATTAATGATTTTGATAATGAGTAATTTAAAAGTAATTATTATTATGATTGTTAATTATAAAATATTTTGTTCAATACATTAAAAATGATCAAATTAATTATATTACCTGTTATATATGTTTAATAAATATGAGATTTTTTCTTAAATAACACCTTAATAAGTGTACTTAATTTTAACAAAAAAGATATAGATAAGACCAAGGGTTATGAATATGCACTCGATTTTTTTTTAAAAAAAGTATATTTATTAGTGTCGAGAATCAGTTTGTTATTTTAAATCTCTTGCTCAAATGGCAAGAGAATTTTCATAGCATAAAAACTTAGATTGGACAAAGATAACCTGTACAATTACAAAAGATAATTTCTGCTAAAAAACTATTGACGATTTAACTTGAAATCCTATTTAGTTACCTTAAAACTTAAAAATGTGCCAGATTAGCACTATTAAATATGTGCTGACCACATAAAGTAGATAGATGATGAAGAAAAGTCCCCTGCTTGTTTTTCGATGGCAGAGAAAGTCTCCTCATAAGGGTTATTACCTTTTCTCTCCCTTTCAATGATTTATAGTATTAATCATATTTAATTCAACTACTTTACCTTTGGATTGTGGGGCTTGAAGGAAGGGAAGAATTGGTGTTTGTCATAACATAAATTATAGAGATGAATTATTTTTAGCCCTCAAAGATATAATATTTTCAAAAATAATTTTTTTAATTTTAGCTGTTTTTAGCCAAGAGAAAAAAATTTTGGATAAAATTGCTCTTAATGAACCTTTTCATATTCAAGTACTCTCAAATTTTTTCTCCCGTCATTCGTTTGCTTTGCTCCTTATTCTGTTGTGCTTTTCATTTTTCTCTTTTGTCATCAAACTTTTTCTAATTTTACCACTATCACTATCTTTCTATCTATTTTGTGTCATCTCATTATATAATCAAAGAGCATGACATGGAAGGTAATAACATATTCATGGGTTTATTAGTTTATATTCACAAAACCCTTTCTTTGTCTATCTCTCGTCATCTCATTATCAATTTACAAACCAAAACGCATGGCATGGTGAGTAACAATAAGATCTTGGGTTTATGAGTGTTAAGTTTTTTTAGTGATTTAAGTCTGGAAGAACATGTCTTAGCGTGTAATAAAGTGATTCATAATTTGGGCATGTAACAATAGAAAGAGGAAGGAAGCTTTGGTGTGTAATATATGATGCTAAAGCTTTGATCTTGACATGTAACATTTGGTGGTGAAGCTTTGATCTTGCAATGTAACATCTAGTGTTGAGTCTTTTTTATGATTATAAGAAATGTAACAAATAAAATAACCTCAAAGCTAATTATCTAAATTTGAGGATTTTAGATAATACCCTTTTGTCCAAATCTATTTCATTCTAGCCATTTCACCCTAGCAGTAATGTTGAAGTTGCATAATTTTTCAATATATCTCCTTTCCATTTAAACTCCTTTTTGATTTTAAACTTTATCTTTATCGTGAAGGTGTTTAATTTCAAGAGTTTATGTCCTAAACTACAAAAATAGAGATCAAAATACATTTAAAAAGTGTTGTTATTACATGTCAGGTTTAAAAAAATATTGTTACAATTAAAAAAAAATTGTTACATGCTTTAACTCTAAGAGTTTATGTTGTAGTGAAATACAAAGAAATTAAATGTTTAAAAAATGTTATTGTTACATATGTTGTTCAAAAAAATTAAGCAACACCAAAACTTTAGCACTAGATGTTACA